TAGTAAACCATTTAGTAACTAGCTATCAACACTAATGGTAAGACACTATAGTAACAAGTATTGAACATGACTTTGCAAGTCATGTAAAGTTATACTATGGCTGGACGATGCCACATTTGTGTCCTTGTGTACTCGTGTTTATTTAAAGATTACATAAGGTCTTCAACATATATACTATCCATAATACGTTTTGTTACGCGTCATTTTTAAATCTGAAGCTTCATAAAAATTGAAATAATGTCCCAATTTTTCTGCGGACCATCAAAAAATTTGCACGCACAACCGGTGGTCCTTGGATCAAAGGTTATCGACCACTGGTCTAAATCAATGTTTCACAAAAAAGTTCCTCTTAAGCACATATATGAGGCTGGATAAAAAAAAAAGTAATGTATTCCTATTAACCCCAAACTGATACATTTATAATACTCTTGCTTTTCTTCTCTCCCCCTCCTCTTCTTCCTCCTCCTCCTCCTCCTTCTTCTTCTTCTTCTTCTTCTTCTTCACATCCTCCTCCTCCTCTGCTATTACACCCACTGGCGTGCGTTTATTTATTTTTGAAAATAATAATGTAGCATTCATTAGTTTGAAGAAAAAAATAAAGCGTTAAGAGGTCATTTGATAAAAATCGCCTGATGATGCCGTAAGGTTGAAACCAAGGTAGCGGACTCAACTGACCTCCTGATTTTTAAAGTTAAAAGCTCTACATTCCAGAATACATAATGTCTTGAACATATATACCATCCATTATATGTTTTGTTACTCGTCATCTTTGAATCTGAAGCTTCGTAAAAATTGAAATAATGTCCCAATTTTTCTGCGGACCATCAAAACTTTTGCACGGACCATCGGTGGTCCGTGAACCACCGGTTGTCGGTCACGGATCTAGATTTTATAAATTTAAGCGTAGAACTAGATTGGCGGCAAGATATAAACGTAAGTTCTATGCTTAGAGCTTCTTCTTACATATTTCTTGCTTGGGGAACTCTATCCTGGCTTCTAACTTCACAGTCAAGTTTGATCCTAAAACTTTTTCCAAACATCAGGCAGTCGATACATGTGTCAACACCTCATAAAAACAACCACCACCATGTTAAAAAAAATATTTTAAACTAAAAGTAATATTTGTTTCAATTTAGAGGAATTATACCTTAAATAAACT